CTATGCAACTAATTTTCAACTGTATCTGTCTGAAAATGCAGCAGCCGCAGAGCAAGCCAGTGGCTGCTCAAGACAAAGTCATTTTCTGATCTGCCTTTGACAACACCTATTCCACTAGTGGTAGCAGTCAGGTATCAGAGCCTGGTAGCTTTTTTGCCCACCACAGCCACAACCCGAAGCAGATGAGACAAGAGGCTGCAGCGAAGGTGCTCAGTGCCGAGGCCAGCACAGACCATCTACCACGCAACACTAGTTTTGTCACCCCTTCCCTAACTCCGTGAGATCCCCCCCGTGCTGCAGTGCCTCAGCAGTCCGAGTCATTGCTTTGTGTAAGGGCTGGGGCCGTTACTCAGAGGGTGACAGCAGAGTCTGCAGGATCTGCAGGGCCAGGCAAGTGCCAGAAACCTTGAGTCAGGGTGTGAGTACTGGCAGTCATGGCTGGTGGCCATACACAGCAGAGCTGGTCAGAGGCAGCAGCATTTACTGGACAACCATTCAGGCAAATGCTTAAAGACAAAAAAAAAACAGAAGTCTGAACTAGTCTAGAAGTGCAGCCCTAACAGCTCATTAATGTAGGAGCTTTTGTAGGATCTTTTATAGCCCCTCTGAGGAGTAGCTTATTACAAGTTAAGCTCTGTAAGTAGGCTGCCCTGTCTATCTAGAGTCACCAAGCCCTGTCTCATCACAAGAGTCCCATTCTAGTGCAAATCATTGGAATCCTTAATCTAAAGCATTTGCATTCCACCACGTCTCAAACAAACAGCCACACATGCTCTTCAACAGCAGCCCGGAGGTCAGGCATGCGCAGGGTTTGTCCCCACCAGTTTTGTAGTGCTTCAACTGCATTATCTTCCAGTTTGAGGCTGCAAAAGCAGCACAGCCCTGCTGTTGTTACAGAGCATAAAGAAACAAGCTGTACTGAGTGGAGAGGAAGAATGCAGCTGCAAGGATCTATGAGCAGGCTGAAGAGGGTAAATGTTAACTCAAGAGCAAGGAAGTGTTTTGAAGGATGGACACTCGGTTTTGTCTAGACGAAATGATAGCTGGGGAGTTCTGAGGGATCAGTGAGCCACAGTAACTTAAGTAATCTTACAAGTCAACTTAAGCTATTTACATTGCAGACTGTAGAACCACAGTTATGTCTCCTTTATTGGTAAAGTTACTATCAGTGAATTACAAAAATCAATCTGTCCTACTTAATACACACAAAAGGCAACACAACCTAGTCTTAACTTATAGCCAAGTGGATCCAAGCAGCCAGCACCTTTTAAACAGAGCCTTTACCAGCACCAGGAGTCGGATGGAAGGAAAAGTGGCTGCAGGAGCTGTGCTGAAGTTTGCACGCCAAGCAGCCGAAGTCCCTCCTCTCCATCTTCACTCACTCAAGTTAGCTGCTTCCAGCTTGTGGTGGAAGTGGGACACAGGTGTATCAAGAAGGCAGTAACACACCACGGGAAAACCACTGCAAAGTCACATTAGGCTCCACTTCAGGCATTTTAGAGCAGCAAATGGCCTCCCCACCCCAATCATTCAAACAGCTCAAGGCAATAGTAAATCTATTAACAGATGCTTGGAGGGGAGGACTAAGAAAAAACATTTTCGCTGGTGTTGGACTGGATACAGGCATTTGCAGGATCTCAGAGCTCTAAGGCTTTAGGAGACAACAACACAAGGGGCAAGAAAGAGAGCAATTGTGCTGGCTAACAGCCTGAGCTTCCTAGAGTGAATGAGACTGGTGTCATGAGTCTGAAGAGTACCAAGTTCAGCCCCAATTTGCCTCTTGCATAAGCTGTTTGGAAAACTGAACCACAAGGAAGTGCTCTCCAGCATGGGAGCTGGCAGGCACTTAGGACAGATGAGAACTGGGCAGCAGCTCTGTTTCCCTGACTGAGCCCCAAGCGCTGCGGGGGTGACTGCACCCACCCGTGTGGGTACCTTCACATCTACTATGGACAAGGTGCTGGGCTTCAGAGGGACTGTGCACGCCTGAGCTCCCACCCCAGGGGTTGTGCATGCAGTTCAACAATGTACAAGGTGCTAGAGAGGCTATTTCTTTCTACACGTTACAGGCATTTCATCCCAACAGCCAGCTCTGGGTTTAGATACCAGAGGTCAAGGGCTCCTTCCCTTCAGGACCAGGGGACATTGCCTTAGACACTAATTTTGCTGCTCTGTTTCAGGGAGGCTGAAGCAAAGCAAGGATTTGCTCTACGTGTTCAGCTGCCCCATGAGTTTGCCAAGTCAGAAGGTAAAGTAAAACGTGCAGATAGCAATGTCTTGATTTGATTGGGAGGGACAGATGAGAAACTGGGCAAAGAGCAGAAAGAACAGGCCTCGGGGATCAATGGCAGCAGGACAAGCCAAACCGGTTTTAACATTAATAATGCTGCACTACTTTCCAAACACAGCTATCATCAACAAGACACCAGCTTTGCCAATCAGGAGGCCTCCAAGCATGATTGCTTTAAACCAGCAAACAGAGCCTACAAACAGCACGAAGCCTCCTCCTCTCCCTGAGCCAGCAGCTTCTGGGTTGGATTTCTGCTTGTCCACACTGCTAGGGACACACAAAAAAAGATGCGGTGCTGCACAGAGACTTTTTCTGCCTACCTCAAGGCAGGAAAGTAGGACAGGGGCAACAAACTTGAGGTCCATTAGCACCACTAAGGACCTGCTGAGCTCAGGGCTCTGAGCCCTCTTGCAGCTCAAATAGAGGAGCAGCCCAAACAGCACCTCTGCTGCGAAAGAACACCCCTTGCTTCCCCACTGTGCTGCCAGGGGCACTTTTAGATGCTAAAAGCGCAGGGAGAACTTAACAATGCCACTCCGCCCAAGCAAGGCAGACCTCAAATCCTTTATCAACTCCACTGATCCCATGTCTTGGCTGCACTGGTGGCTTTCTGCCCGTCTCCAGCTGCAGGCCCCTAAAGCATCTTCTGCAGGAACCCCATCCCTGCACAGCACAAGCAGAGAGGAGCACCCTGCCCACAGAGACTTTGCTTTCTGGAGCACCCAACTAGCAAGGGCCGGGGACCACCAGGAGACATCAGGCTTCAGCTCCAACCTCCCCCCACCCCATGGGAACCAGGCGATGCTCTCACACAAAGCTGCTGTAACACAACCCACCCACAGCCCGAGCACCAACGTCACACTTCGGCACTGCAGTAAAATTCCCCACCCTCTTACACATCCAAGATTGCTTCACACAGAGAAATCCCATCTACACCAGAAAGCCATGCAAGGGGAAAGGAGCCAAGGCATTTTTGTTTGTACAGGCTTGGGGAAATATTCAAGTACCAAATCACTCTCAAAAGCCATGATCTTACATAAGCACAAGAAATACAATCCCCGTCTTGTTAAGAAACAGCTACCTGTCTTCACCCTGCCCGCACAGAAAAACCAAGCACCACATGCTGTGCAGCCCTGCACGTTTTGGCAGTGCTATTACAAAAAAAAAATAATATAGGAAGAACGCCAACAGAACTTTCCCAAACAGTGTGTCATCCTCGTCTCCTCCCCAGCATCCTGTAACCCAAACAATTTGTTTGGATAAGGCTTTATAGTAGGCCAGCATTACTTCTCAAGCATACACTCCATCTTAGGTAGCTTAAGAGATACAAATACTCCATACAAATTCTATATAAGGATTTACAGAATATATCTGTGCAAAATTTGTTGCCTTTGCAGAAATCCGATGCTTGCAGACCACTCAGTTCCCCAGGGACACCAAGCTGCATTTCATACCAAACATGGTCAATGCAACTTCCAGATGATGTCTGCCCCAAAGGTTTGCCCCTACTAGTTTGGGCCAGCTCTCAAACGAGCTATTCAGGTGCTTAACAGCAGGGATAAAGACACCAGATTAAAGTGGATTTGGGCTGATTTGGTTTTAGCAGAGAGTAGCTGCCAATTACTACAGATGCTCTCCGTGGGAGTTTCCTACTCTACAACCAGCAACCCCCCAACTCCATGCTCCTATTAGAGAGCAACAGAGCAGCACAACCTTATCAGTTCCGATCTGCCCACCTGCCTTCAATCTAGAACGAAGCAGTGTGGATGATTAAACCTAGTTTTGAGAACCCCTGATCCCCTGCAGTTATCTTAATCTCAGCAGTTTTCAGACTAGCAGAGGAATCTGCCCTGACTGCACTATTAGCAAAAGGGACATACACACAAAAACAAACAACAGGGAAGGCAGAACCCTGAAATCTGCTTCACACTGAAGATCCCACATGCATCTCGCTTGAAACATCCAAACTCTTTATATATTTAAGAGACTCTTTAACCTTTCGTGGTAACGCAACGGTTTTCATTCCCCTGTGGGAGCAAGGAAGGTTTGATACACATAGAAAAACACAGGTACTGGCACAATCAAACTCAGGTAAGACTGGAAAGCTTACCCAGCTGCTGTAATGCACTGCACCTATCTAACCCATCACACAGTCACAATAAAAGAGGGATTAAATGACTGAAATCCATGACCAGCAGTTGGAGATCAAAGCTGTAACGGAGAGCAGTTCGTTTCCATCGTGTACCCTTGTACCCTGTACTGCTCTCATTTCCCTTGCCCTGATTCCAGAAGAGTAAGACAAGGCTCACCAGAGCACGGGGTGGGGGGGGAAAAGAGAACGGGAGAGGTGAGGAGCGTTACAGCCGCCCGACAGCTCCGGACAGGGCAAGAGCTCTGCTCGGGCACGACTGGGCCGGGACCGCGCTGCTTTGGCACCAACCGGAGGAAGCAGCGTGCAAGCCTGGAAGGCGGCAGGGGAACCCAAGGAAGGAGCGGGAACTGCCCTATTGCCATTAACCCGTTTTGTACCCCCCGCCCCCCCCCCGCCTTCCCCGGAGGAGAGCAAAGGGGTGGGGGCAGGTGGCCGGGCGAGCGGCCGAGACCCGCGGCCCGGCGAGGAGCAGCCGGGGCACCCCCCACCCCCCGGAGCACCGGGCCGGGGGGGACGGACGACACGGAGCACCCTCTCCCGGGTCCCGGCGGGACTCACCGACTCGGCGGCGGCGGTTTGCAGGAGGAGGAGGCCGAGCAGCAGAGCGGCGCGGAGCACCGGCGGGGCGCGGGGCTGCGGCATGGCTGCGCGGGGCTGCACGCGCCGACCTGCGGACCGGGCTCTGGCCGCCTCCCGCCGCCGCCGCCGCACTTATAGGGACGGCGCGGCCCCCGGGGGGGGCGGAGCGCGGCCGCCGCCGCCCGCCCCCTCCCCGGGAATGCCCGCGGCCCCCGCCCCGCCACGGGCACCCCCGGGGCCGCTGCCCGGCCGGTTTCCGAAGCGGTTCGGCCCTGCTGCGAAACGCGGGAGGGGGGGGCCCTGCGGGGCTCGGGGCCGGCTCTGCTGGGCGTGTGGGTCGTGGCGTGTGTGTCCCCCCACCCCCGTACAGCCGGCGTGGCCGCAGTCACCAACTTATGGGAAGAGGGGGAAAGGGGGGAAAAGGGGGAAAGAGGGGGAAGGGGGAGCGGAAGAAAAAGAGAGAAAAAGTGAGGGGAAGGTGGAAGGGGGGGTAAAGGGGGAAAGGGGGGAAGAAGGGGAAGGGGGGGGAGAAGGAAGAAAGGGAAAGGGGGTGAGAAGGGAAAAGGGAAAGGGGGGGGAGAAGGGGAAAAGGGAAAGGGGGGCAAAAAGGGAAAAGGGAAAGGGGGGCAAAAAGGGAAAAGGGAAAGGCGGGGAGAAGGGAAAAGGGAAAGGGGAGCGAGAAGGGAAAAGGGAAAGGGGGGGGAAGGGGAAAAGGGAAAGGGAGGGAGAAGGGAAAAGGGAAAGTGGGGGGAGAAGGCATACAGCATCTGCTTTTGCAGCATTTCACAAGTGACAGTCTCACATTTACAGAAAACCAAGAAGGACTTTCTGTGACTCGCAGCGTGTCATCACTGTGGTTATCAGACAGGGTGTTGCATCACACGCTTCTTGTTGGAGATGGAAAATGAAACCGCTCCATCTGTTTTCTCTGTAAGTGGCAAGTGCAAAAAACCCACACAGATAAAAAAGGGGAAAACCCCAACAGCACAGTTTAACTATTTCAGTTTTTATTCCCTCATTCACAACATTGCCTGACCATGAGAATTCCATTTCAGCCCCTTAACAACCCGAGGTGCACCTGAACTACCATACTGGTACACCCTCTGCATCAGTTCCTCGTTCATGCTGCAGTCACATCCGTTTGCACTTCGGCTTTAGTTTGTAGAGAGCAAAATATTTTCTTAACAGGGAAGCAATGCACAGACTACAAAGCGTGTGTGCCATGATCCCCTCTGCCAGGTACAGATGCAAACTCTGCAGGATCAGAACCATCTCATCCCGCTCCAGCACTACAAAGCTACCCCGAGAGAACTTGTAGCCTTCCCCCATCCCATCTTTAGCATGCTAACGCTCAAAACAAAAAGATCCCTAAGGTAAAGCAGCCTTCCTAACTGCCCATTCCTTTGGGAATAAATAGGTACAGAGGGTGTGAGCTGAGGTCAAGAGGTCTCCTCAGTGTTTGTTAGAACCATGCCTGCACACATGACTGCTGGCAGGAGAATCTCCTGGCAACACCATGCTGAACTGGCTGTGGAGCTGGTTGGCATCATATGAAGTGACAAGGAGTGATGCTCAGGGTCTAAAAAAAAATAATATCTGAAGGCAGCATACATCCAGGTAAGGGTAGGAACCAGGCTGGAGGAGGCTGTGGTGGAGTTTCCTGTAGCACGCGACCCTCTGTGCTCAGGACAGTTGACGTATCACTAACCCTCTAGTTTACCTCAGCATCCAAAGCCACCAAGGACGCAAGGGAGGGATCTGTGCTGTGGGATGGGTTACTACCCTTCCTCATTACCCTCACTTCATCACACAGAGGAGCTGATGAAAGTCACTCCTGGTGTGGCCGAGGAGCCCAGCTCCAGTGAGTCTCCAGCTCTGGACACCCAGCAGAGGCGGGCAGCAGAAGATGGAGAGGAACAAGAGTGCATGGGCTGGGTCAAATGTGCAAAAACTCATCCATATCATGACAACATCTGCCAGCCAGGAGACAGCCTCAGCGGCACAATGTGTCCAGAAGCACTGCAGTCCTCCCTGACCATCTAAACGGCACCTGCATTTGTGTGTGTGTAGCCATGACCCCTCTACACCTCCTTCCAGGTAAAGCAGCCACCACAAAGACACTTTCAAAGCCAGCTGCCTGTAATGTGGCTACAAACACTGATAACTTGTCTGTTAACTTCCTCTTGAAACAAGCACAATACACCATACTCCTCCTGGTTGTCATACCCTTCAAAACATCCCCCCCTCCACCAAAAAGTCACCATTTGCCATCCTCGGGAAGTTCTGCTTTGACAGAACAGAGAGGAGCAGGTCTGCCTACCTGGCCCTGGGACCACACACACTGTCCATCAAAGTCACACCTGGACGCACAATCCTTCAAGCAAACTGATAAAACCCTTGGGCTTCTAGAAACAGAAGAGAAAATTAAACTCGACCCTAATGTATTTTTCAACCTTGAGAACAAATTTATGTAACTTGACCAATGATATTTTCAGAGTGCATTGTGTAGATCTGCCTCCCTCACACATACAAGCTTTCTGTGACTGTATCTCAAGAGAATTCATATAAGAGGAAATGCAGCCACAAAAATCGTAATATGGTTCTGTAAACCCATGACGTAAAATATCCTGCTTCATTTTGCTCTTCAAAGGTCCCCCCTCAAAATGTTGACATTCTCCTCTCTCTGGAATAATGAACAAAAAACGTGGGTATGTGACCCTCACCGAGAACAACAGGATAAATGGGCCCAGAGAGGAAAAAAAGCACAACTGAAATGTACTTTCCTGAAACCTCACTACAAGTGAGAGAAGCAGGAGAAAAATAAAACGCATGTTGAGCCACACATTTGTTCTGGGCGATGAATTCTCACATTCAACGTGCGTCGGTTCCCTTCTCCATATAAAAATTACAGTTGGCAAAGAAATAATATAGGCTGGCCACCATTGTTCCTAACTCAGTGTTCAAGAGTGAACTGTTACTTAACTCTTGCATTGAAAATAAAAATAAACACCTGCCAGTTCCCAATACACAACACAAACATGCTGGCAGTAGAATGGAGCGTCCAAATACAATGCATTTGGAGGCTGGGGGGAATCACATTTTTATATGACACATCAATAAATGTCTAGATAATCTTGAGAACGCCACACACAGAGCCCTTTAGACAATTCTAGATGATAAATGCTACTTCATTGGCCAGGAAAAGAGATTATTTAGCCAACCTCAGCACAGTTCCTACAGGCAGGTTTGAAAACGAGTTTGGAGCAGCATTCTCAAGCACAAAAAAAAAGCCTTAAGTAGAGTTTTACAAAAATCTCAACTGCCAAAGTCCATTCAGTACACTGAGCTCTTTGGAAAAAACACACCTGCACATTGCGTAGAAGAAAAAGAGCGACAGAAAACTCTCATCCCACATTTTGAGCTACTTAATGCTGAGTTATTCTGGAAATGTATAATCTTAGCATTACTGTCTCTTTAGCAAAGGTCACCTTAGCATAAATCCTACCTGTCTGGCAAGAGGGAAACAAACCCCAGCAAAGGTCAGCTCAGATAGCACTACCCTTTGTACACCAGCTGGTAAAATATGGATCACCTAAATAAACAGCTTAATGTTTTAGGCAATGATTCCCGAGGAGGAAAAACAATTCCATCCTATGTAGCTATTTCTTATGGAAAGAATCCCTGGCTACATAGGGCATTCTTTTTCCGCACTCTTGATAAAGGAATGACCACGATAGTTGCATGTGAGCTGGGCACATTCTCAGGGTGTCTGCTATGTCCTGGGCATATCGCCACATCTTCTTCCACCTGCTGTTCTTCATGACATGGCAGGTGTCATGAACAAAACAGTCAGTGGTTAAAAAAGGACATTCTAACCAGAAGCCAGGCGAGCAGCACCTACTATGGCACCCTAGAAAGCATGATCTCTGTTGTTTCGACATCCTTTTCCCCTTTAACACATCTTTCCTTCACAGCCATCTCTGACTTTTGTTTGAACTAAAGAGGAAGAAAAGGCAAAATGAGAATGCCACTTAATTCCCCAATAATGTTTGCTTTCCAGGTCTACTTGAAACCCTTCACACAGAGCAGGTGTGTAGGGTGAGGCTCCCCACGGGGAGAACACCCTCTCTACCAGAAGGACACAGTCCCCTAAGCTGGAGCAGCCTGGAGAGGAGGGAGAGCCGAATTTAGGAGTGCAGACAAACAGACGTGGCCATCGTGAAGTCAGCCAGGAAATTAATTCATGAACTGGACTGCAGCTGACCCGCAGCACAAATGTCTTTGTGCCACAGCACTTCACTGCGTCCGTACTGGTACGCTGTCCGCTCGAGGCGGGAGGAAGCCTCAGCTCACACGTCTGACACGCTGCTGCCATGCCGATGCCTTCAATTATGAGGCAGCAACCAAGTAGGGAGGCGTCTCAAATTCCGAAGGAATTCAAGTCGGCACCTCCCAAAACACCAGCTCGTATCTTGTGATCCCTGGGACTATTGGATAAATCAGAAATATTGTTGCTGATGACTTTGGCAGTGGAAAGATACCCAGAAATTATACCAATGGTCCTACCTTACACTAGCTTGGAGTTTTAGTCAGCTATGACTAAATGACCACAATTTTTGCTGGCAAAGGAAAATCAGTCCTATAAAGCTTGAAAAGGAAAGAGGGAAGTGAAAATAAAATCTAAGCTGTGGCTTGCATGTCTCCGAGAGCTAAGCTCAGCAGATCTCAGGAACGGAAACCAATTTCTACGAAGAGTTAAGAAAGGAAGTGTTGAGTCTTGCAATTTATGCTCAGCAATGTGATGGCAGCAGGCAGCCCTGATAGTGCTGGGACTTTCCCATATTCATTTCTGCACTAAGGCTGGTAAGCTTCTGCAATGATAAATTCTGTGAAGGCCCAAGTCAGAACTCAGCAGCGGGTGGCCCACAATCCTTTCTAGGGGCAGCAGGCCCAGGAAAAGGGAGGAAAATGTGTCAAACCTGCCTTGGCACAGTGACATCCACAGAACGAGGAAGGGAAAACACACAGCAGAGCTGCATAGGGAACTTCCCGTATGGGGACATGATAAAAACGTCATGAGAATGTCAGAGATCATTATCTGA